CCAACCCGTACCCCCTCTTCTGCGTGATCAGCTCCCTTGCCGCTTTTCCGGCCCCTACAATTATATAATAAGCTGTGTAATCAATTATGGAATTAACATCTTGTTTGATACGTAGGAATGTAGTCAACTAAAAATGAGATGAAGTTAGGAATGAAATGTAATTAAGTAGGACTATCTTTAAGAAGGGTATATCGAAAATTTATTTTATTAGTTTCATTCTCACTTAAGTGAGAATATCTATTTCTTGATAACTCTTTCGGAATAGCAATTCGCACGGTAAGTGAAAATTGATGATAAATAAGAATGATATTTCTACCATCTAAAAACATATCATGTTTAGTAAGCGAGAATAAGAAGTTGGAATTGTATTCCATTCATATTCATTTCCGTGTAACAAACAAGGCGTAAATGTAATTATTTATGAGTATACATCCCATAAGTTAGGAGTAGCACCCGCTGGTTTTTTTTAAGCTAAAGAGGTGCTTTCTGAGGATTGTTTTTGGTCAAAAGAAGATGTTTCTCAATGACTGAAAAAAAAGCTGCAAATAATACAAACAGACTCATGAGAGACACAGTTTGCTCCATGGAAAAGGATAAGGCGACCAAATGAAAAAGGAAGAGAGTTTTCCTAAGACTATAAGTACTACTTGATATCCAAGCCACACAATCAAATATCTTGATTGTGCATTTTAGGTTTATTTATTTACTACAACATGGTTACAAAAAAGTTTATGATTACCAATAGTTATTAAAATTTTAAAGATATTTCCATGTGTAAAACCTTGTTGGTTTTAATATTTTACCTTGCAGAGGAATAACAAGGTTTAAAGTCTTAAAAATATTAATGATTTAAAAGCAATTTTAATAATTTGAAGGACTAAATTCAAAATATTAATGATGTAGAGACCAATACCGAAAAGACTCTTATTATTAATGAAAAAAATTAAATTCTTAAAGTCATCAAAGAAAAATCATAGATTTTATCTAGTCCTATTGAATTTTATTTATAAAAAAAATAGATTCCACCTATTGTTTACAACCAACGATGGAGTACTATTGTGATTCAAAAGGTTTTTCTAGAATTCTCTTGGTCAAAATGTGCGCATTCAAGAAAGAAACAAAAAGTATGTGATCAATTCTAAAATTAAATATAGTAATCTTTCCACATTTTTTCAACTGAAGTAATTGATTTTGTCTAAAATTCTCAAAATGATTACCTTCTAGTGTCAGAAATTTATAAAATATAATTCGAGAATGATTTATACATATGCACTCATATGGATTATATTAAGAAAATAGTTTAAAATATATCCAATAGCAAACAACATCCAAAATTTTAAATTAAGGATTTAGAAGAATCCAATATATGCAACAGTACTCATATCCAAGATATGTGCTTCATAAACTTATAAGGATGTGAGTAATATAAACTAAATAATATAATTTATTTTGCCAAGTAATTAGTTTTAGATCATAAAAGGCAAGGAGAGTCAGAAGGATCTCATATCATCAAAAAATTAAATTAAATTTCTCCTAAAGAATATTTAGCAATAGATTTTCAAAGTTAATATAAAGGATAGATCTAAGGACAAATAACCAAAATTAGTCCGTTGTATGATAGACTTGGTATAAAATCCACTCTTATAAAATCAATATCACATGTGCCTTAAGTTGTGCTTTGTTTAAGGGTTAATTTTATAAATATCCCTCTCAATTATTTGGGGGGTTGGGGGTTTCAGAAAACCCTCTGCAACTATTTTAATTTGAGAAATCTCTTCCAAATTTGAGGTACAGATAATCCATCTCAACTTTAAAATTTTTATCTAACCCCTCTCAATTTTTCTCACTTAACCCTTCAAAAGTAACACCACTGAGTCCAATCTATTATGTGATAAGTATCCCTCAACCATTGAAGAATTACCTTAATTTTTACTAGATGACAGAAAAAGAAAAGATATAGAGGGAAAAAGCATCGTAAATTAGTCGTGGTCCTTTTATTATCGGTTGAGGGTTTCTTTGTAACTAAAACGGTTTATTTTTTCCAAGGGGGTATTTCGTCCAAATGACATATTGAAGTAACGATAATAATGGAGTTTCTTGAGAGAAGTGTAAAAGGTTAGGGGAGTTTCTATGAGATATACCGAAAGTTGAGAGTGGTAAATTGTTGCTGTACCAATGTTGAGAGTGATTATCTACAACACCCCCATAGTTAGTTAGGGGGTTTTCTCAAATTGAATGAGCTAGTGCTTTTTATGAGACAACCCACATACTTGAGGGGTTTTCAAAAATTACCACTTCTTTTAAATAGGATTTATTTACATATTTGTCTCTTAAATATTTAATAATTCAATATTAGTGCCAAAAATTATGAGTAATTTGAAATTTTCAGAGACTTAGAATTATTGAAGATTTCAAATTAAGGGTCTTACTTACATCTAAATAACCTTTAAATATTTGTTCATATAGATTACTTATAGTTCTATAAGATGCTCTTAGTAATACAAATTCGACCAGTGGCATACAATATAATTAATTAATGATGATAATTAATTTAGTATGGTTACGATTAGAATATAATATTGAGAAAGAATAGGAGTAATATTAGTCTTTTTTTAAGAATGAAAGTCCTCAATGGTTGAGATATGTGGAACTAAGAAATTTA